TCTCTGACACACACACATACACACACACACACACATGCAAACTGGTCACACATACACACATTCCCTCAACAAGAAGTGTGTCCTGTGATTCCCTCTGTATTCTCTGACACATAGATGAATGAGTTGAAATCTTTATATGCATCCAAAGTCTGAGCAGCTCACTGGACAGTGCAATGCAGCAGTGATGGACTAAACAACACTTCCCAGTTTAGTTGAAAAGATTGTTCTCTGTGCTGTTGTGTAAGTATCACTGAAGATCCTCACACTGATCCCCTCATTATCACTTCGACGTCATTGCATTGGAGAAATTTAATTCTCCTTCTTTCCTTCCTCCAGAGAAACAAGGGCAATGACAAAGTGATCAGACGGTCTGATATAGAGAATGGGAAATGTGTGTGAAGCCCAGCACAGGGTATTGCTGATTTATGACATGAAAAAAACCCCCGAAGTTGAGCTTATCCTAGGCATCATTTTAAGGATATAACTTCATTTTAAAGTAGGATTTTTTCATCTATTTTCACCTCATTTTTGTCTCTCTGTTTTCCAAAGCAGCAGGGAGCAGGGACTTATTCACATCTCATTTGATCATGCAGAAAAACTTCTTATAGTGCCTGGTTTGCTGAAATGCAGGTAAAATTTCTGAGCTCCACACTGGGTTTTTGGTCTACGATCTTTTATAGTCAAAATAAAATGTCAGCAAAAAAGTTACCAAACAGTTAGCCAAAGAAGGACATATATAATCATAAGGTTCATCCTAAAAAAGCAGAATACCAGATATAGGAAAAGTTACCGGACAAAGGAACATTTTTATCTAACAAATAGCAGAAGTCAACACTCTTAAAAGTACAGAACATGAAAACAGAACTAAAAGAACGGCAGTTAAAGATGCCACACTTGCATAAAACAGTGTGCATCAACACATATGAACACAACCAGAGCCACAACGACAGATTGAACAGCTCTGACTGTCTGTATTTTCCTTGTTATTTCAAACTGCTGTTTTCTGAAGCCAGCAGGCTGCCAATCTGACTCTATCTATTCTCAGTGGGAGAGGAGAGCTAATAGTGAAAATAATTTAATTCATTCGAAAAATCAGTAATTCTGTGTTTGGAGCTTAACAAGCGCTTCTGCAGATGAACTATCAGTACCTCGAGAGTGTCTGATTTTCAGCCCAGACTGAAACCTGGAAACATAACGTAAAACTAGAATATACAAAATTCAACTGAAGGCAACTCAAATCTCAAGCTTTTATGGCCAATTTTTCTTTGACGTGACATTTAGAATTGATAAAGACTTTGCAATGTTTGTTTGTATTCAACACGCTTTCAAAAAACAAGAAGTGCCAACAGCGGCTTTTTCCCCCTCCCTGGCACAAGATACTAATCTATACATCACAACCTTCATGGTTAGTATTCAGATCATTATCTCAGTAGATGGATCACTGCCACAGTAGAAACATACAGAATTACAAGTGGAAGCCCTGATTATAAATTGTACTTAAAGCTGCAATTTGTGTCATGATAAATCTACAGTGATTGCCAAACCCGTGCAGCAATGTAAACATTTGGAGTCTCCTTTAGCTCATTGTTGAGGCTTCTGAATGTTTGATTTTTCTCAGACAAGGATTAGGACCACAGGTGAAAGGTAAGAGTTCTGAGAAAATGTGATTTACAGTAAAGACAGACTCCAATGATTAAAGTCAGGTTTCTGAGAAATAAAGTCACTTTTTCAAATATAAATATTCAAACATAGAAAGAAATACAATATTGAATTAGATATTCACACTCTATTTTCAGATGTCAGATGTCAGATTTTCAGTAGAGCTGCACTTCTCTCAATTATCTAATATTTGCATATATTTAATGAGCCTAAATTGCCAAAGTGTCAAGTGATAATCAGATTAAAAGGAAACAAAAAAGAACTTAAAAGCATTATTCAACGTTCTGTTTGTGTATTAATGAAAGACTGTGCAGTGTTTTGAGTATGTTTGTTTCTGTCACTGAAAGCAACACTGCGTTCAGCAGCAACAGCAGCCAGCAACAAAAAACACAAGGTCTTAACACTCTTAGTTCCACACGCTCTCTGAAACTTAGAGGAGTCCAGGGCTAAAAGGCAGAGTAAATATTAGACTTTAATTTGTCTGGTGGCCAGAAGCACCACTTCTGATGAATGTTAATGTTGCTCTGCGTCTGCTGGATGGTCAATTTGGTTAATCATTATAACTTATAAAACTGACTGTAGGCTCTACCTTTCATCCAGCAGGGTTTAATTTTAGACTATCTCCTCAGGTATTTTCTATATCAATTAGTCCCAATACAGTACGTGTTAATGTGATGGAATGTGTTTATACAGTCTATGGTTTCGATCAGATTTTCACAGAATGCACTGAATCTGAAAACTACCCTTGCCAAATGAACTCGATGGAATTCCCAGAAGAAGAGCAGAGGGGGGCAACATGGTCTACTGAATAATTGATTAATATAGTTTTCCCTCCAAACAAGATTCAATCGAAAATTGCATTATTCCAGGAGCAGTGAAATTATTAGTTACCAACTTAATTGTGACAGAGGCATGGAGTACTGAGGTCATGAACATTGCACAGCTACTTAAAACTATTCTTTGGCTAAGTTATCAAGGCATTGCAGTAGTTTAATTAATTAAAGAATTTGCTTGCAGAGTGCAGATTCCTGGCTATTGTAATGTATAAATTCAATGTGTTACTTTTTAAGTCACTGAAAGACTGCCCCTAGTTTACCTAATAACGGCTTTAGAGGCTGATAATGAGTTTTCACCGGTAGGTGGCAGTAGCAGTGAACTATGGATGTTGGTAACTAGCGGTGTAATGCTGTCGTAAAGACATGTATGTGTCCTATGTTTAGGTGAGAAAACTTAGTCTACAGCTTTTACGTTAAACTTGTTCAGTAGTGCTAGTCAATTAGTTGGCTAGCTAAACTAAAAAAAGCTAACTTTCTGTGCTCTGAGCATGTCTAACATCTTTTCTTCACTAGGTCTTGTGTTTCCTGAACCTTTTTCTTTCATATGCTCTGTCAGGACGCTCCTTATTCTGTACTGCCATTGTTGCTCGCCACTTTGGAAAGAGTGTGAGAGAAAGTAATACCACTATATGCTAAAATATGAGTGCATATGGCTTATATTTGGTTTATATAATCACAAAGACAAGAACTCGACGATGCATATTCTGGTTTACCACACTGACTTTTTGACTTTTCAACTGAATTTTGGTAAAAAGTAAGTGTTGTTTTCACCAAACTCTTGGTCAAGCTGGTAGGCTGCCAAGTGTATTTTCTATTCTGTTGGCCATTTTATTCTCTACCAATGAGTCATATTAAATGTATAATAAATAAATGTAAACGTGGAAGTCATTTAAGAAATGTATCAGAATAAAACGTTTTCCCTCATATATTTCTCTGGACACTACAGTTATACCACATGAAAAAGAAATATTCCATTTGGAAAAGATGTATTCACTACAATATATTTCCATTTAATGTACTTAGAATTTTCTTTCCTCTCTTTCTCTCACTGCTTAGCACTGTGATCATCTGGCCTCAACCCCCTGCTGATGCTAAGGCTGGCTGCTGATGCTCAGCAAGACTGGGAGGTACCACTTCTCCGACCACACACACACACACACACACACACACACACACACACACACACACACACACACACACACACACACACACCCTGCAGAGACGGCTCATACAGCCATAATTACACTCTTGCCCCAGCTATAGGAAGTGAGGTGGCTGCAGGTGGGAACAGTGGAGAGCCTCACAACAGGCGATGGGGAACAGTAGCACTAAAAAGAGCTTGAAATCAACCAAACTAGGACGCCAACAGGGCTTAATTACAGGGTGAACATGACTAACGATAAAGGTGCACTCTGGTGGTGCTGCAGTCCGAAGTCTACAGTGCAGCCCTTATCGCCCTCTCAGTCCCAGGTGTTGAAATGTATAGCAAAATCTCTGTATTCCTACAATTCACTTAGAAGACGCTTTTATCCAAAGCCTGCTAGACCGTCCACACTGCTTTCTGATGGACAAAGGAAAAGTAATGGAACGCCTGTGTATGGAATACAATTAAATGCAGGAATTCCAGTTGTTGACTATGTGTACAGTAAACTTTTCAGATAGATTTACCTTTGTTTAAAAGGATGATTGTGAGAAGCTTCATTTGCAGTTTCCATGTGATAGCAAGCAGCCTATATCTGATACCCAAGGAGAATGTTTCAGGGGACAGGTGGAGTGTTTACAGTCATTTCTTAAAAAGCCTGTGCAAGAGAGGCAATCACTCTGCACAGTGATCCTCTCCTGAGATTTCCTCACTCACTATTTACATGATGGGAGTTACCTACCTTACACACCTCACACACTACACCTCACACACTCCACATGAATGTCCACAGACTCTCCATGGCGGTTTACCTATGAATTATTTGTTTGACGGGCAGAATTTTGCAACACTTCACCAGGTTCAATCAGGGAAACGTGGAAATGGAAATGAGGCGCCATGGAGAGAACACAGGCTCTCGCACAGCCTCCTGAAGTTTGAGGAGCTGTCCAGATGCTGAAAGAGCATCAGGCAGTCTTTCAATTGGTAATTGGAGTCAGTGGCTCTGGAGGAACTAATGCCAGTAAGTGATAACAAACTATTCATCCGTTTGACATATAGATTCACCTTGTTATTTTTTGCCATACATTTGAGGCAGTAATGCAACAGCAGCTTCTTTCAAATCAAAAGATTTCACCTAAATTAATTTAAAAAAGGGGAATAATATACATTCTTATGACATTTTCACACCCCTCGTGATTATTTATTTGTCTGTAAGTGGCTCTTATACCATTTCCGATTAAAATAACGATCCACCCAGCCATAGATCAATAGCTTGAATCTGCAATGAGTGTCAGTCGCAGCCCCACATGCAGGCAGGAGGGAGGGGCGGAGTTCACAGCTTTGACTTTTCTAACGCAGAAGAGCTCATTCTTTGCAGGGAAACAGCGGAGTTGGCGCTGATGCGTGCTGGCATGTGATCCCACTTTGTCAAATCAATCTCCCCCCCAATGCTGTAGCCTTTCATTAAACTTTCCATGCTGTTGACCGTCCAGTGGAAAGCACTGAGCAGGTTTGTCCGGACCGTATCAGCTCCTGCTACGCCGCCTGCTGCGCTCCGGCTCTCATCCATCATCAGCTCTCCAGGTTCAGAGGGACTCGCACGGCCCGGGGTGCTGGCTCGGCTCTCCCGCACACATGGAGGGAGACGTTATGGACAACGTTGAGGCCACGGCGACGGTCCGTGACTTCGACCCCATCAGTGGGAGCATCCCGGCAACCAAAGTGGAGATCACCGTGTCATGCAGGTGAGTCCACTCCTGCCTGTGCCGATGCTGTTGTCTCTGCGCCACGGCTGATGGAGCTCCGCGCGCTTTTTGTTGCGTTGAGTAGCTGTAATTTGTAACGTACAATTCAACAATTTGGTGCTAAAAACATTGCCTAACTTAAGTTCTAGACACTTAGAGAGAGCTAAGTTTTACATTTTAAGGGATAAAAAAAACTTTACACATGTGCCGGGAAAATCATTGCAGAGATTTCGCCCTGCGACCAAACTCAAAACCACCTAGACGTCTTAGGAAAATGTGCATTTTTGATACTTTTCGGTAAAGTCTAATATTACATGAAAAAACAATCCATAAACATTACCAATAATGAACAAACTTTTATTTATTTGTGAGCTTGTTTGTGCTGTAATGTCTATCCTGGTAAATCCATATCTCCGTCGGTGAGTCTCGTGGGGTCTACAGCACTGTGTGTTTTGTGTTTTGCGCGCGCCAAGTCGCGTGCCACAGGCAATATCGACTGTCGTGAAGTTAGTGGCGTGCCTGAGAGGTTTTCCCCACAGGCAGCTTGTCGTGTGAAGCTGTGTAACCGCCTGGCAGGCTCTGAAATTACACTACTTGGAAAAAGAAAAGAGGAAAATGAATTAGCGTTAGATATTTCCGCCCTCGTTCACTATGGTGTTAAGCAAGACCCTGGTCCCATCCCCAAAATACCAGATATTCTATGAAGATAGCGAGTGCCTCGGCTGGGTGGGTGGGGCAGCGCTGGTTGCAGGTAGAGTCTTTTACTTGTATGCAGCTGCGACAGAGGCTAAATGGCTGTATGTGGGTCGACAAGTACATTTCACATATTTGATTAACGTGTTTTCTTTTAGTGATAATCCATGGTTTCAGGGCCTCTTGGGTTTGCTTAATTTGGCCATAATCCACACTGTTAAGCACTGTGTTGCCCCTGGCTGCATCTGTGTTATATGCATGTAAATAATGTGTTGCCATTTGCGCTGCAGTTTAAACTGATCCCAGAGAGATTTCAGAAATTAATGTATTAATGTGAAGCCACAGGCGAGAGAGATTTATTAGCCAAACACCCTGTTGCCATTGCTGTCCCTGTTTTCTGCTATCTTCACTCGCTCATGAGCGTTATCTAAAGGAGAAACTGTCTTTTTTGTTGTTGCAAATGCTGCTTTGTTATCCATTTTATTGCGAAGTCGTTCAAGAAACCCCATATCACTGCTGATGTGTAGTTGACCTTTCAACCAATTTAGGATATTGAATGATTTCTTATCACATTTCTAAACAGATCTGTGAACCTTTGCAGAGCGGGCTGGTTGATGAGCTGGTTGGTGCAGCAACTCAAGCTGGGAGCTGAACAGCATAAAATCATAAGCCTATGCCTACTTCAGGATCTAGCTTATGTAGGTAACAAACATGATTCCATTTAACTGAAATGTGACCAATAATTGTGTATAAGGTTAGGAAATGTAGTTTAGATTGGGTGTTTATGTGTAGTGTGTTTGATACATTGTGGTTTATGTAGTGAAGAGCACATGGATTTATATTGTTTCCCTTTTGTGCAGACTTCTTTTTCCCTCCGACCTTTCAACTTAAAGCCATGCTCTTTGTCGATGCCCCAGGCTGTTTTCGTTGTGCAGCTCCCTTGTCTGTCATTAATGTCTCTCCAAACAATAAATCGCTCCAGGACACAGCTTGATAAAAAAGCGAGAAAAAAAAGAATCACTCCTGCCTTCAATGGACCTTGAAACATTATCTGCAAAGATTGCTAGAGCAGGTTATTTCCTGACTGCTGTGAAATTCTTTATAGACCAGACCCTGGACAGCTTAAAAGTTGAACATATATGAAGTAAACTGCCATGCATGTTGCAATTTATTTCACTGATCAGCAATGATGTACTTGGACCATTGAAAAGAAGCAAAAAGAAACAATTGGTGTTACACTGGTGACAGGCACAAGCTCCACAACTCTGTGTAATTGATTTGGTAAGCCTGAAAGCTCTGAGGTTGCAGTGCACATGGAATTGAATTGCTCTGTGTGGCCCTACAGGCGTTCTTAGAACCCTCTGCCAATATAGCAGTGAGCTCCCTGACAAACTGGAGGGACTGATGCAGACAACCGTGTATCAAAACAACTGTGCATCACTGTGATGGCACATTGTTCTCCATCAATGGCTTTGATTGGTTTTTCTCAAAGGTCAGCCAGTGAGCTGAGTTCAGAATTTCAGTTTCTAGGTTGCGAAAGCTACACTCAATGTCAGCACTTAGACTGACCCAAGTGGCCTCTTTATGCTTACATCTGCCTCACCAAAGCATGCCAATGAATACAGTTCAGTGGGTTGGAGCCAGTGGTCCCATGGTGGGCTATGATTCCAAGTCTTACGTGGCACCAATAAAGAGTGTACATTAATTAATATTTAAGCAGCTAATATGAATATTTCATAAGTTGTCCATGCGGTTTGCCACATCACGCTTTGATTATGAAAAAAAGTGTTAAAAGAGAATATTGCAAACCGGATTGTAAAATGGGCTCTTTCTATATCTCAGCTTACCAGACCGTCTCAGAGTTCCCATGTACAATGACTTCAGGGAAACTGGGGCCTATGCTCTGCAGTTCCACTGTGAAGAACACTTTTGGTAATGAATGTTGGAAAAATGTGCACACTGACAAAACTCACACAGCCCCTACGGGAACCCAGATCTACATTTAATGAACAGATCTTTTTTTTTTTTTTACTGTATTTCTCGATGGTTTACCGCAGTACAGATGCATGAACAGGATGTAGAATATTTTGTAAACGCACTGTTTATTGTGTGTGCCTCAGAATGATGGAGCATTGTTGATAAGCTTGACAACCGTGACATAAATGTACAACCCTTGCCAGAGCAGAGCAGGGGAAAAAGAAGTTGTGGCTCCTGAAAGATTCGATTTTGGCATCTCCTATTTGTTAGATAGTTACCATCATACGGAGAGTGAAGGGAAAGAAAATAACAAAAGCATTTGATTGAAAGCACAGATTTGTACACTGTATCATTGTGAGAACATGTTTGACACTTAAGCTCCCACAAATGAACACACAAGGACGTAGCTTAAAATGTTCTTTTATTCCCTTTTTTATAGCAGAACAGAGGGCGCATTATAGACATTTATTGGTACTTTGCAAGGTGTCACAACACACCACGGGAATTTTGTTAAAATGAAATCAGCTGACAAAGCCACCCTCCTTTCCACTGTGATCAGCCTCCCACCTGACAGCTTGAACATCGAACTCTATCAGCCCCCATCGCCCATTTCATCAGGAAGGATTCAGTGCATCTGGTCCCCCTCCTGAGCTTGCTGTAACCATTCATCTGCTGTGATAGATTGGTTAGGGTAGTACTGCATCCAATCAATGCATTCCATACCTGTGGGACCTAACGCTACCAGGCCACTCTGCTCCCGAGAGATTCATTACCTGGTGAAAATCACAAGAGGTCACATGACTGCCAGCATCCTGTGACAAATGCTTGCAGGAGAGGGTCCCCCTTTGAATGAGATCCGTGATTGCTGTTCCCTGGGGTCTCTCTGAAAACTTGAGGCATGCTTCTTGATCTGAGCTCTTCCTGAGGCAATCATCGCTGCAGAGGAGGCAGGCTTAATGAAATCATCAGGGCGATTAGGATGTGTGGCAGACTGCACTGCTCGATCTGTCAAAAACAATCGCCTGATCAGAGCAATTGGGATTCAAGTGTTGCAAACTATTGTTTATTCAAATGTGTCATTATGACTCTGCTGTTGTTCAAGTGTTAATAGCAGTTGTAGCTCTTGATGTCATTCCATCCTGGTTACCCATTTCATCAAACCCTTTGTGACTCTTTCTGAAGGTTTAAACATCCTTTTGTTTTGTGCGAGGAGAAAGCGGGTTAGAATTGGACGGGGTTTGCATTGTGCAAGAGCATAAAATATTCATAAAAGATCTCTGAAGTGAGAGAGAAATTTCAATTTGCAGTGTTTCTACTGTGCCGCTCTTTTCATATCTTGTTCTGGGTTAAGACTGACCTGGGGCAAGCTTGCAGCTTTTATCTCACAGGATGGCTAATGTGTGAGCGATGTGTCGCATCTGTTTTGGGAATCGAAGCTGAGAGACATGAGGGTGCCAAGAGGAGGCAGATTCTTTTTTCTCGTCCAATTTTGGGGATGTTAAGATTGCAGTAGCAGAAACTCACAGGTCGACGAAGCAGATAATTATGCATGAACCCCTGATACAGTGAAAATGAGTTTTGATCCCAGGTATTTGGCTTGTGATGGTGTCAGTGTTATTAATATATTGTTAATATATTCTCATTAGGGATCTATGATAGTTGAAGCGGATTCCATGGAAACACAGCTGTAGGGCCATATTAGTGGTTTCTAACATTCAGCTGAAAGTGTTGATTGGAAAGACAGGAAAAGTCTCAAATGTTGTGTAGCGATTAGAAATCAAAGCAGTCCCTCTTGGCGCACAAGTATCAAGCTCTCTGTCACTATTTTCAGAGAACCTTGAGGGTCAGTAGAGTGTCTTATTGGATTTATGTGTCAGGGGATATTTGACCCAATGTCACAGTTTGTCTTGGAAATGTGAGAGCTAACAATCGCTTCATACCAGATGCATATGTTGAAGGTCTATCTCTTGTTGAATGGCTTAGCCCAGGGTCTAGACAAGCTACTTATTGTAAGTGCATTGTCTTATCTGATTTGGAAATATTTTTGTTGGATAAATTTGAGTGGAAATGTTAAACCGCGGGCAAAATACACATTTTTATCAGTGTGGGTGAGAATTTGTATGTGTGCCTTCGCTAAAAAAGCTGGGTGTGGAGTTTAAACGTGAACAAAAACCACAAATTTTTACTGTAGGGAAACGGATTATCAGTTTAAATGCATGAATAGTGCAAGATAGACTTAACCACGAGCTACAAAATAATCTTCTGTTTCAGTTGAGAAAAACTAAAAAAGAATCACAAGTGCTGCAGCGTTTATAAATTGGTCGTACTAC